TTATGAGAGATTAATCTTATTAGGTTAGATGTAATGTTTTGTCCTAGCCTTAAGTTTGGTGTCACATCTTGAAAGTTGTGTTGATCCTCAGCTTGTGTATTAAGCATCTCTGTAATATCTATATTTTTTGGTATAAATCTAACCATTACATTTGCTGAATATTTCGTCACTAACTTGAGATATTCAGCGACAAAATTGTTTTTGTCGTTGAAGGATTTTGTTTTGTGCTCATTTTAGTGATGAATTGTTTTGTCACCTTAATCTATATCATTAGTGAGGATAAATTTCATCACTAAAACCTCTATCTTAATATTTTGTGACGAAATATTTCGTCGCCAAAACAATTAAAAATAAAATATTATTTAATTATAGTGACGAAATGGATGTTATAGAGGACGAAAAATTCAACAATTAGAGATGAAAATTTTTGTCTCCAAAAATGAAGAATAGGCGACGAAATGAGATTTCGTCACCAGGTACTTTTTGCGACGACGAATAGATGACGAACGTGGTGACAAAAATTTTTCGACACAGATCACTTTGGTGACAAAAATTTGATGTTTAGAGATAAAATCAGTCCGTCACCAAAGGCCTTTTTTGTTGTAGTGCATGTTGATTTTTGCCATTTTGTATCACATCTATTGCAATTGGAAGACTATTAAGAACCTATATTTCGAGGATTCAGATCGATCAAAAGACCAATTGAAGGTAAAGAGTTTCACTTGCAATCTTTCCATACTACATTGTAGCTTTCCCCTATTTAGCGCTATTTAATAGTTTATTGGAAAAATTACAAAAACAAAAAAAAAAACTCATAGTTTAAGTCGTGTGACAAAATAAATCCTAAATTTTTTAATTCATCAATTTATACCATAATTTTTTGATTTATTTTCAATCTAAATTATTTGTCTATTTCCGTTAACTAAAATTGATGAAAAAAATAATACTTTAGTCATCATATTAAATGTAACTATATGAAAAATATAATAGTTTATTGGAAAAATTACAAAAAAAAAAAAAGCTCATAGTTTAAGTCATGCAACAAAATAAATCCTAAATTTTTTAATTCATCAATTTATACCATTTTTTGATTTATTTTCAATCTAAATTATTTGTCTATTTCCGTTAACTAAAATTGATGAAAAAAATAATACTTTAGTCATCATATTAAATGTAACTATATGAAAAATATCTAAAATATCATTTTCATTAAGTTTAATGATTATAATACTCTTTTTCTGTTAGTTTTACCTAATAAAAATAGGCAAATGATTCAAATTTAAAACAAATCAAAATATTAGGGTTTAAATTGATAAAATTATAAATTTATTTTATTATAAAGCTCAAGCTATTTATTTTATAATTTTTCCTAGTTTATTTCCCCAAGCAAGTACTAAGAACTTTTTCCTTAGAAAGCCAAGGTATCGTTTGATAGACTTTAAAATTGAAATTCAAAATATGAAAATTAAGGTATTGAAAATTGAACACAGGTCTGTTTGGTAACATTTATTTAAAGCTTTCTATTTATATTTAAAAAAAATTTGAAAAACTATAAGTAAAAAATCGGTTAGTATCTATTTCAGTTTTCAAAAAATTAGTTTAGTAAATTCTTGTAACCGTAAGTTTCACTTATTTACAGGGAAAAGAAATTTATATTACTTTTTCTTTTTCCCACAACCTACTACTCATTAGTATAAGACAACTTAAAAAATAGATGGACACGGTGCAATTTGCGATTTATTACAATTTATGCACTAAGTAAATTATATGACATCAATTTTTTTTATAATGATATTACTTTTGATTTGTATTTTTGTAATGCTGAATTATTAAAATTTAAGTTCTAGAAACATATTTAGAATGCTCTTTGATTTATTAGTTCATCTTTAATCATGAGTAATTGATTTCAACAATATTTAAAATATGTCCTAACCCAATCCTTTGAACTTGTTTAAACTTGCCTTTTGCGCTTCTTCTTCTTCTTCTTCTTCTTCTTCTTCTTCTTCTTCTTCTTTTTTTTTTTTTTTTTTTTTTTACAAAAATCTATATTTACAAAAAAAAAAAAAATTGAAAAATTGTAAACAAAAAATTGATTAGTATCTCTTTCTGTTTTTAAAAACTTGTAAGTAGTTTAGTAAATTTTTGTAAGCGTAAAAAATTGGTTTCACATATATTATGCACACTTTTTTTTTTATTTTATATACAGTGTGCATAGTAGAATTTCTCTAAAATTTTATGATGCTCTATTTTTGGTTAAGATGTTTATTATTAACTATGCTTGAAAACACATACAATACTTCATATAAAATAAAGTATAAGGTTGTGTATCATAGTGGATTATATATAGTTCAGTAAATATTTTTTCCGTGTATATACAAGTATTGATTCTTCAAATAAAATAAAATAAAAATGTTGATTATTTAAATATGGTTTTAAACGAGGTGGCATTTTGATCATACAGGAAAAGTGGAGACATATGAAGAAATCTGCAAACAAGCAAACAGATTCCCATCTAACGAAGCGCTATGTGCGTGCGTTGAAAGTCCAGATGAGTCCTTCAAAGTCCAAATCATCGCAGTGCAAGGTGGTGGAGCTCCCAAATTCCAATTTAGAAAATCAATAAATATATACTTGTATTATTAAACATGATACGTGTGATACCCCTGTTCTGTATTATGTTAATTGGTCCCTAATACGTATGTGATTATATGTTTTGATATGATTTTATGTGCCATTATGTGAATATATGTGATTTTGGAATTCTATCTGTTCACCGTAGGAATACCTGTTTGAATAATCTGCTTTGGAAATTAAATTGAGGGCCTTATCGGTCACGGAACCTGAAATTGATTACGCCATTGTGATTAGCGTAATTTTTAGAGCCTACGGTGAAATTTAATTGAAAATTGATTCGGGTCAGATTAAATTGATTTATTTAATGGCATTGTGCTCAAATTGTTAATATTTTTAATTGTGGCTAGTGGGGTTTGTTGTATTTGAGCACTACACATCCCATTCTCTCCTATGACCTCATTTTGGCTGATCAAAACTTGAGAAAGGGAGAGAGAGCCGGCTGTTAGAGAGAGAGAGAGAGAGAGAGAGAGAGGAGAGAATATTGTATTTGTGGTTCAAGACTTGGACCTTTTGGAGATTAAGCTCAAGTATTGTCAAATTGGGAAGATTAAAGCTCCTTGGTGAGTGATTCATGCATTTACAGTCATCATCTTGTGAATTCAAGTTTAATAGATGGTCAAGAGCATGAACTAGTTTGACTGTAAAGGAATTGAGTTGCTTGTGTTCAATTGAAGGTCAATGAAGGCATGCATGTATATAATTGTTGTGGAAATGCATAATCTAGCATGTATTGAGTTGAACATGGAAATAAAGGTGTTAAATCTTACATGCAAGCATGCTTTTGTTGTATTCCATGAGAATGAACACCATTTGCATTGTTTGGGATGGAAATGAAATCAAGGTTAGCATGCATGTTTGAATAATTAAGATATGAGATTTGAATGTATGATTTTGTTTGTATTAGAATGAGTTGATGGGAGATTGGGGCATGCATGTGAATTAATTGTGAATTGGGCTCCATTGTAATGTGTTTTGGTGTTTATGGCATGTTAACATAACTATATTTGAGATTTGAGTCATAACATGCATGTTTTGTTGGTTGAAATTCGAATTGGAGCTCAAGAACTTAATCTGGAAAACCCAGATTTTTGATGTTCGCTCGAGCGGGAAAATCGTGCTCCCAGCACTTTTTGCAGAGTTGGATGTCCGCTCGAGCGGGATATCTCATGCTCGAGCGGGGAGTTTTTGTAGACAGGCCTTCCGCTCGAGCACTCTATTCCACGCTCGAGCATATTTTTCATGCAACCAGTACTTTTGCAGGCCTTAAGGGTCCGCTCGAGCGGGGAAGTTGACGCTCGAGCGGGGACCCTGTTCTCTGAAATTTTGTATGCTCGTTCTGTGTTTCGTTTTCCGTTCTCTTTCACTTGTAAGCACTCTTAGGCATATGTTAAGCATTGTAAATGAGATAAGAATAAAGCCTAAAGAGGAATATGTGAATCAAAGAACGGATTGAACTGTTAGTGACCCCTTTTGTGTTCATGAAATGTGTCGGGTCAAGCTCCAGGGCAAATCCACAAGCCCATCACTGTGAGTAATATCGATATTTGAAAGCTTGTCAATGTCCAATTGTTTATTTTCCTTATAAGCTTTATGAGTTGCTAATTGGGATTGTGGACAAAAGTTTGACATGATAGAAATGAATGGACCAAAGGTCGTTTTGATAGAAATGAATGGACCGAAGGTCGTTTTGATAGAAATGAATGGACCGAAGGTCGTTTTGACATGAATGAGTGGGCCGAAGGCCGTTTTGACATAAATGAATGGACCTAAGGTCGTTTTGACGTAAATGAATGGGCTAAAGGCTGTTTTGACAAAAATGAATGGGCCGAAGGCCGTTCTGACATAAATGAATGGGCCAAAGGCCGTTTTGACATGAATGGAAATCTGATTGGGCCAAAGGCCAGTATGTTTGGAACTACAGTCATTTGATCTGAATTTTGTATAAGTGTATACATGTTAAGCAGAAATATGCATTGGGCCCAAGGCCGTTCGTAGCATGTTGTTCTTCATATTGCTTATGTAACTTATGTATTCGATATTATTCACTGGGCTATCGCTCACGCGCATTCATGTGTTTGTAGGTGAGCCGAGGGAAGTCCAAACCCAGCCCTAATGAAGTCTGCCAAGAACAACATGAGTTTTGGAGAGTCAGCCTTGTGTCTCACGTACAAGACCCAACCTTACCATTTTGTTATGTATTTATATTTTGTCTTGTTGGCAAGGACTTTGTGTACATCTGTATATAGTTGTGATATGGGTTGACTCAGTTTGGATGATCCTGTCTGTAAAGGATTTTGTGATACTGTACTTGTTGTGGGTTATTAACGTATATGTGCATGGTTTGTTTTGAATGCATATAAGCACGGAGGAGCTTGGGGCACATTCCCAGCTACCACAGCAGCCTCACATTCCTCATCACTCAAACCCATCTTCCTCATCGGTCCATCACACGTTTCGCTCGCTCTCACAATCAACAATCGACGACGATTACATGCTTTGCTTTGGGGACGAACACATACAAAATTATGATTCACAGATGGTTTTAAACCCACATAGTTTGCACAATCCAAACCCTTGATTGCTCCAACATTACAAGGCAAATTAACCACAATCGAAGCCATATAAGCTCAATAAATCACTATGTTCCTACAATGTATGCATAGAAATGGCATCAATTGAATAATACTACAACAATTTAAGCATCAGAAACAATTCAATTAAAGAAATGAAACACAGAGCAAAGGTCAAATCTCTTGATATTAATTTGAATTTCTAGTAATTTTTATGAGAAAGTTGAGGAAAGATTGCAGGAAAGGGAGATCGGAAACTTTACCTAAGATGCGATGTGAAGAAGCAGCGGCGGAGAGAGAGAGAGAGAGAGAAAGAGAGAGGAGGAGCTTATCTGAACAATTCAGTAGTCTTGTCAACTTCGTCGTCTACCAAAACTTAGAAGCGGTTGTGGGTTTTTTGTAACGTTTTTAAGGCCACGTTTGGCAATTCAATGATTTTTTATTTTTTTTAATTAAAATATGAGATAAAAAAAGTTAAATATATTTAGAAAATATTTTTTTATTTTTACAAAAATATATATGTATATGTAAAAAATAAAATGAATGAAAAGAAATAAGTTGAATTTTTATTTTTTAATTAAAATTACATATTCTCAAATGAAACCTTAATTACCTTTTGATTTTTAACGTCTATTATCACCCCCACGACCTTTGGTGATTCCCTCAGCTCGGCTTACACAGTGACTGTTATGGTGTGTGAAAATTATTTTAAATTTTATTTTAAAAAATGAAATCATTAAATTTTAAATAAAAATTGAGTGTTGGTTATGTTGAGTATTTTTTAGACAGTAATTGAATTTAAAATTTTTTTTACCCACTCAATTTTGAACACTATTAGTCGATCAATTTTATGGAAATTAATTTGAAAAATAAACTAATTACATTTGAGTACGCGCACACACATAGAGTAGCCAAGAAATTTTAATTCAATTAATTTTTCCAAGATCGACTCGAGATAATTTAAGACTTAAAGAGACAATTCTAAATGAGAATTTATATATATATATATATATATATATTGCAAAGTATATTATTTAAAATTTATTTTTTCCATTATTGAGATAAAAAGTATTTATTAAATATTTAAATTTAATTTTTTTTTTTAATATTTGGGGTCTAATTGATTTTTAAAGTATAGTTTGAGAGGTAAAATGAAATTTTAAATGAAATTTAGTGCCATGTCAGTACGTTTCGTTTGATTATAGATGGAAACAGACGGCGAGGGATAAATTCATCAAATTTGAAAATGTTTAGAGATCAAATTAAAATAATGTGAAGTCTGAGTGTCAAATTGATTTTCGCGTAATAATTTAGGGGGGTAAAATAATATTTCCTCATTTTATAATCTTAACACATGTATCTGAAAACTCCACGGCATATGTTTTTTGGATGGTCTCACTTCTTAGATATTAGGAGTTGTTTAGGATGATATAAATAAATATATTTTTTGATTTTTTACGAAAATGTGTGCAAAAAAATAGAAAAGTAATTTGATCCAAAAAAAAAAATAAAAAGATAAAAAAAAAAATGTGCTACGATAAGTCAGGCCAAACAAGTTGTCATAACCCGAACCCACCCTTATGGATTAGAGTCATAACCGGCTAGTAATCACGAGATTACCTACGGCCTCAGCTAGAAATCAAACCATATTTAATAATAGGGGGCCAAACTACAGAAGCATCATATACAAGAATTGTCCAACGAGCTGTGCATACGTGGTTTAATCAAAAATTTTCGCATATACATGAAATAACTCACACCATGCAATATTTACGTTATGTATGTACTACGTATATCTAGGATCATTTTATAGTTTCAACACCAAGTTCCAAGGTTATACACAACGTTGGTCATACCTGACCATAAAAGAACAAAAACAAAAGTAAAACAAAAGTAAGGCCTCTGCATGAGGCGACCTTGGTTGTCCTCACAAAACTTGGCTTCTCAACGTTCACTGGGGCTGGGGTTGGACGTCCCGCTGGTCACCTACATACATATAAATAAAGAGTGAGCTAATGCCCAGTAAATAATACCAGAGTAAAGAGGTTAATGAATGAGTTTCGTTCATAAACGAGTCATACTTATAATGTAAACATTTGAACCACTATTCTCATTCACATCAGATTTATAAATCATAAAAAAGAAAAACGACTTCGGGTCCAATACATCACATCCATATGCAAAACGACCTCAGGTCCAACTCATATATAAAAAAAAAACGACCTTGGGTCCATCTATACAAAACGACCTCGGGTCCAATACTCATTCATAGACCGACTTTAGGTCTAATGGATCCATGTACCAAGGACCACCGGTCCTCCGTATCACATTACTAAATGACCATGGGTCCATCATTCTTATATTCACAATTATGTGCATATGATTGTGATCATATCCATACTCATATTCAAAATGACCTTTGGTCCAATCAATTCTATATTCGAAACGACCTTTGGTCCAATTTGCATATAAGATAACCTTTAGTCTATCTTGTTAAGCATTCCAAACGGCCTCGGGCCTAATCCGTGTCCTCATCAAATATACCAAACGGCCTTAGGCCTAATCTGTGTCCTTGTCAAACATGCCAAACGGCCTTAGGCCCATTTCATGCTCATATATCAATCACTTCACATACTTTATTACTAATCAAACGAATAGGATACTCATTCATAGTACAAATTCATAGAGTCAGGAATTTACCACACAGGTAACATTTAGAAAACAATGCATACATAAAAATATCTTTACTAAGATATTACTCACTGTGTTCTGGTGCTTGATTCGTCCTTGCGCATGACCCTACATAATTCATAACACATTGGGTCATAATACAGTTCATTCCGTTCTTTAATTTGTTTAATGTTCTTAGGCTTCTTCTATACTCTTTAATTCATTTAGTGTACTCAATGCATGCCTAAGAGTGCTTAGAAGTGAAAAAGAACTGAAAACGAAACATGAAACATCCTTTCAAAATTTCTGAAACAGGGCCCTCCGCTTGAGCGTAGCTTCTTTCGCTTGAGCGGGGATTCAAAAATAAGGGTGGTCGCTCGAGCGTAACTTCCGTCGCTCAAGCGGTCTACAAAAGTACTGGTTACGTGAATTTCCCGCTCGATGGTCGCTCGAGCGGAAGACTAAGTAAAATGGGTCCTCGCTCGAGCGCCACTTTGGTCGCTCGAGCAATCTGTAAGATTTTGTAAAACTTCTGGGAGCTCGATTTCCATGCTCGAGTGACACTTTCCTTGCTTGAGCGGATAAGTGGAATTCTGAGTTTTTCAGAACTCTGTTTGAAGCCCAAAACACATCTTCAAATGTTCAAAACTCATATTTTCGGTCCAAAATTATGGAAAACCATCATATGACATGGGAACATAGATAATTTGAGACCAATTACTCAAATTATGGATTAAATTTCCGAAATCAAGCTTAAACCACGATGTTGAAACCATGTATGTAAAATCCATGTTTCATATCTTGCATATACAAGCTTTAAAACTGAAAATTAGGCTTCAAAACATAACAATTCATGCATGCATGTGTCAAAAAACTCTCAATTCAACATGGTCTTTATGATTTATGCTCAAACATGAGAAATCACAACAAATTCATGCATGCATGCCCAAGGTGATCTTAAATTCAACACATTTAGCTCAATTCTCATATTTATCAACATATACTTCTTGAATTCGCATAGTTATTATAGCGATCCCGGGTTTACCCTTGTCATACAGTGATCCGGACATGTGTCCGTGGATGTTAGTAGTTGATCATTACCTTGTGTACATCATTTATTACTTTGTATTTGAGTTATAGGATGTGTAGGGTAGGTTTGTTACAGGTTGGTTGAGATTAGAAACTAAAACTAGTTGCCCAGATTTTGACCTGTCCGCTCGAGCGGGGGTTTCACCCATCCAGTATTTTCTGTGCAGTGTTCGACGCTCGAGCGTGGGATTGGCCGCTCGGGCGGGTTTGTGTGTTTGACGCTCGAGCGGGGAGTTGGAAGCTCGAGCGGGAGACCTGTCTGCAAAAGTTCTGGGAGTGTGTATCCGGAGCTCGAGCGGGAGTCTGTGAGTGACGCTCGAGCGGGGCGTTGGACGCTCGAGCTGGGCGACTGGGTTAAAGCTCTGTGTTTTGACTTTTCAAATCACTTTTCACTTTCTCTTCTCTCTCCTACTTTTCCAAAAACACCATTGTTGAGCCTCTCACTCTAGAACTCTACCTTCTCTCTAGGTTTTGGTCTAGTAGGAGTGATTTGCTCATCTTTGGCCTTTACAAAAAGGTTGTTGATCGTCGAGGGCTACATTTTAATCTGAAAATTTCAGAATTTGAAGCATTTTGGTTTTGGTCTTCATCTCCATTGGAGCTCAAACTTTGAGGTAGGGATATCCTACTCCTCTCTATGGATTTTGTCTTTAGATTTTAGTATTTTGAGATGTTGGGGTTGGTTTGGTAGTTTTGTGAAAGTTTGGGGCTTTTGTGTGATTTTACAAAAGTTGGGGTTTTATTTATAATAAACCTAGATGCATGTTTGGCATAGAGAAATGGAATAAATGTTGAATCATTGATGAAAATGGGATCTTAAGGGTTGTATTGTTAATTATGGAGAATGCCCTAATTAGATTGTTTGATTAATTGGGTTAATTAATCGTGAGAAATGAGGTTATGAAATAGAAATGTTGAGATTGGGAATACATGGGATTAAAGGGTGTAGTTGGATTTCATGTCACTCACCTAGTTGGAAACGTCGATTTTATATCCATTTGTTGCATTTATTTACTGTATAGAAATAACTGCTTTGGGCTATCGGTGGAGGATAGTCGTGATTGTTGTAGACAATGCATGATGATTAGGCAAACGGAAACTAATCACTGGAATGAGTCATTGATTACGATTGATTGAAAGAACACGTTAAATTTATGTGTTGCGTGATGATGTGTATAATTATTGTTTATATGCATTGTGTTGTGTTGGAGGAGATAGGGGATGTACTCCACGGTTTAGGGGAAGATAGGGGATGGACCTCTAAACCGGATGTTGTTGGGAGGAGATAGGGGATGGACTCCGTATATAGAGCTCATATGCTTATCTAATACTGTGTTGACAGAGCTCATATGCTTGTCATTGGAAGTGTGATAATGCTCATATGCATATCTGTGGAAGTAATGATATAGCTTGTATGCTTATCTGTTGTTGTGTGATATAGCTAGTATGCTTATCTATTATGAAATGGGAAGTGTTTGATATGAGTTACTGTCTCATATGAGTTGTTTGGCCAGGTTCTGAGCCATGGTTGTAAATTGAGAATTGAAAGGAATTGGAAAATGGACTGTAATATGGACTTGTATGTCATGAAACCGTAGAATGTGATAAGGGAAAATATCTGTATTGGCCATCTATCAACTG